ACATACACTTGCTTTTTCCACCATGTGACTCCCTCTGACATGTTTTAATGAAGCGGTAGGCCCTCATCAGGAGCTGAGCAGACACTGGCACCAGGTGCTTAGATGTCCTGGTCTCTAAAACCATGAACTAAGTAAACCTCTTCTCTTTATAAATTATGTTACCTCACATTAGATGCAATGTTGGCCAAACTCCACTCACCCTTGAAGCCTGGATGAGACACAAGGATGACAAATCCCTCACACAGCTGCCTCGCTGTTCACAGTATTGACTCCACAGGGCTGCTTGAGCATCCTCCCAACATGGCTGAGAGCTTCCTGCAGGCAAGTGACTTAAGACAGAGCCAGGAGAAAGCCTTGACCACACATTCCTTGACCTAGTCCTAGAAATCATACATCCACACTTCTGGTACACCTAGTTTATTAGAGGTGAATTACTGAACACAGTCCTCAGAGCCCACAGAGGGGAACTGGCTCCACTGTTTTGGGGAAAGCATAGCAGAGAATTATAGAGAGAGATAGAGAGATATAAAGAGAGAGACAGACAGAGAGAGAGAGAGAGACCATAATCTGTTCTTTTGACACAAATTTCTTAAATTACTTTCATTCTTCCATACACACAAAATAATTTATCTCATCCTAGCTACTCCGGAGGCTGAGATCAAAGATTGTGGTTTGAAGCCAGCCCAGGCAGGAAAGTCCACAAGACTCTTATCTCCAATGCTCACCACAAAAGTCAGAGGTGGAACTGTGGCTCAAATAGTAGAGCACTACCTTAGAGCAAAAATAAAAAAAAAAGCTCAAGGACAGTGCCCAGGCCCTGAGTTCAAGCCCCAGGACCAGTACAGCAAAATGAATAAATAAACACATCTCTTCTCAGTGTCCTCCATTCCTGTTGAGTTTCGACTAGAAACCGAGGAAGTTGGCACCTTGATGCCAATCCTCAGATGGAGTTCCTCAATTACAATCCCTCCTTATTTGAAGAAGAGGAACCTGACCTATGTCAGACAGTGCTACTATCTGTGTTCTAAAGAAAAGACTTGAAGGAGGATTCTGGGCCACAGAAATGATAAAAAAAAAAAAAAATTCCAGTCTAGCACAGGTTGTCTCTCACTTGATAAGAACTTGGCCCTGCCCCCTCGGCTTCTGGTTTTGCCCTCTAAATCATCTCTACAGCACTTCTTTTGTTTTTACCCATTTTACAGGAAGAAACACAGAGGTTCTGCAGATTGTAACCAGGGAAGCTTAAGTACCCTGAGGACTTAAAATGCAGAGGTTCACTGGCCACAGGGACATTGGGAACGAGAAAAGCGACCTGAGGCAGCTACATCTTGGAAGGGAAGGTAGCACGCACCTCTCCAGCCAGACCTTCAGAGCCTGATTCATTAGATTCACTAAATTAAATTCATTACAGAAGCAAGAAGGTCAGCAAATACTGGGATGCTTACAACATGCCAGGTACTATAGTAAGTACTAGATCTAAGCTGCTCCAGAGACTCCACCAACAACGGCATTGAACTCAGACCATCCAGACTTCCCATATCACCCAGTCAAAGGCAGGTGGGTGGTCTGCTCTCCAGCCCCAGGCCCACTGGTGGCATCTTGAGCACCACATAGCATTTTCAGGAGCTGGCACCAGCCCATCCCAGGAAATAAGCTGTCCATAGGGCCTTTAATGTTTTTATGTTTGGCTATAATGGAAAACAAACATCCCCTGTGTCTTTGGACCCATGACACCTACAATATGGAGGAGGGTGAGGCTGCACTTATCTGGGACTGCCAAGGTCACCTCAGGTCCACTCTGTACAGCAGAAATGAGAGGATGAATCAGAAGCACTGGTGTTCCTCTGCCTCTGCCCCCAGGGCTGATGCTCAGGGTAGCCGGTGACACAAATAAATTCAAACCGTGTTTGCTTCCAGTCTCCCTACACACGGCCACCAGAAAGCAGCTTTCTGACTTACCCAGCGGGGCATGCCCTGGTCCCCAGCTCACCTCTATAAGCGATGGGGTGCTTGCCCAGGGAGACACTCAGATGGAAGCCACATACTCCTACCATGGCCAAGCAGAAGGTCCATGGGTCTCCAAATCTGAAACAGTTATCCTCACTAAACAACAACACGCCTGTCTCTCAGTGACAGATTGATGAAAGGCACCCATCCTCACCCTACCTTTCTGGTGGCCTTTACCAGGTGACCGCTTCCACTCACCCTGACGCCGAGCCTTCTACATGCTTCCATCAAGAGGATGTCAGTAGAGAATAAGAAAAGACCTGCTCCAGTGCAACCTTGCTCTTGTGTCTGCCCAACCTGAGAAGGATAGCCATTCATGACACTGTCATCTCACATCTGTCTACTTAATCTGTCTACTTAGCAAAACAATGTCCTGACAGATGGCAACAATATCCTCATTATCTCAAAAGTAAGCTAGCAGAGTCTCCAACACCATCCATTCCCAACCCCATGATTTCACTCATGTGTATTTCTTGAAGTGGTTCCCTCCCCAACCTCTAGTTTCTGTGTGTGTGTGCGTGTGTGTGTGTGTGTGTGTGTGTGTGTGTGTGTGTGTGTGTGTGTGTGTACTGAGGCTTGGATTCATGGCCTGTACCCTGTCCCTGAGCTTTTTCACTCACTGTTCTATCACTTGAGCCACAGCTCCACTTCCTGCTTTTTTGGTAGTTTATTGGAGATAATAATAGTCTCACAGACTTTCCTGCCCACACCGGCTTTGAACTGTGATCCTCAGATCCCCTGAATAGCTAGGATTACAGGTGTGAGCCACTAGCATTGAGCATCTTAGTTTGTCTTTTTCATCACTGGATTCTCAGTGTCTGGCAGCAAGTATTCAGCCCAACAGGTATTTGTTGAATGAATGAATGAATGAATGCATAATCAGCATTAGAGAAGCTAGGGGCAGCAAATGGAGTGAGAAGAAAATCAAAACACATTAAGTAATTTTTTTTTAATCTGGGTCTGTTTCCCCATGAGAAAAGCAGGAAGAAAGGCAAGAGGAGAGGAGGGGGAACTGGAAAGAGAAATCACACATAGTTCAGAAGAGCTAAATGCACAGTTGCAGGACACTCCAAAGGAGGAGCCTGGATCTGATCCCTTGAGGTGAACATGGGCTGGGTGAAGAGGTCAGGTTGCACTCATGATTCTGTAGCTTGAACAGGTGAAGCGCAGGTGCTGCCACTCTGCCCACTTCCCTGGAGAGCTGCAAGTTAGGACACAGCGCAAGGTGCCTTGGGGCAGCTGAACTCTGGAGACTCCCTGCTCCTTCTCCTTTGCCATCATCCTTCCTGCAAGGGGAAAGAGTGACTGGTTCCCCCTGCCCCTCAATGGTGGTGGGGAGGAAGTGCTGCTGCTGGCTCTAGCACAGTCAGGCCGCCACTTGGCACAAGGAAACTTACGCATCACTAACACAAGGCCTCCCTGGTCTCCTGCAACCCAGGTCCCTCACATAGACTGTCCATGGCACCCCCAAACCTGCTCTATTTTGACTCAGCTCTCAGAAGAGCCACCTCAGTTTCCCAGAGAAATAAAAAGATGGCCAACCCAATATCAATAGAACCAAATAGAAGACCCAGGAATAAAACCATATGCTTGCAGATATCTGATACTTGATAAGGGTAGAAAAAAGTATAGCCTCTTCAATAATTGGTGCTGGGAAAACTGAGCACAAATATGCAGAAAACTAAAAGTGGATCACTGTTTGTCACCATGCACTAATATCAACTCAAAGTGGATCAAAGACCTCATTCTCAGACCTGAAATTTTGCAATTACTGCAAGATGGAGTAGAAGAAACACTAGAACTTATAGGCACAGGCAGAAACTTTTTGAAAAGAGTCCCAGGGGCACAGAAAATAGGAGAGAGACTTGACAAGTAGGATTACATCAAAATTAAAAGTTTCTGCACAGCAAAAAACATAATTACTACACTAGAAAGACAGCCATCAGACTGGGAGAAGATCTTCACCAGCAATACATACAACAAAGGCCTAATATCCAAAATATACAAGGAGCTCAAGAAACTAACTCCTCTCAAAGCTAATAAACCAATCACTAAATGGGCAAAGGAGCTAAGGAGAGACTCCTCAGAAGAAGAGGTAAGAATGGCAAGAAAAGAAAAAAGAAACAGCTGAGGAAGTGCTCACTGTCCCTGGCAATAAAGGAAATGCAAATCAAAACAACTCTGAGATCCCATCTCACCTCAGTTAGATTGGCCAACATCTACCTAGTACAATCACTCTGGACAGCAGTCCAGAGGTTCCTTTAAAAAAACTAAACATAGCTCTTCGCTGTGACTCAGTCTTATCACTCCTGGGCATCTACCCAGAACATCACAAGCCAGGACAAAGACACTTGCACACCCCTGTTCATTGCTGCAGTGTTCATCATAGCCAAGTTGTAGAAACAATCCAGATGTCCTCCAATACATAAGTGGATCCAAAAAAAATGTGGTACCTATTCACAATGGAATTTTATACAGCCATTAGAAAGAATAATATTATGTCATTGGCAGGGAAATGGATGGGTCTAGAACAAATCATGTGAGGTAAACCAAGCTCAGAGAGACAAACGGCCCATGTTTCCTCTCATATGCAGAAACTAGATCTAAAATACAACTAACCATGATCAATTACACAAGACTCTAGGCATTCACACACAATGAGACTAAAGGAGGATATTTTAAGAGAGGAACAAAAGTTTTAATGCCTACATACCTCTGATCATATAAAATAATATTTATCAAAATGAGCATGAAATGGAAAAAAGGGATTTTTCTTTTCTTTGTTGCTGTTTTTCTTTTCTTTTTATCTTATTTGTTCACTTATCTGATTTGGGAGGGTAAAGAAGGGCGCAGAAATGGAGGGACAGAGGATGAAAAAAATGCAACAGTGGAACTCCCTGGACACTATGTTGAAGATGAACTATACAGAGGAAAAAACTGAGAGAGAACATATAGGGGTGACATTGTCAAAGAGGAATGTACTCTTTTTTTAAATAAATGTGGAATGCTTCACAAACTTGTGTGTCATCCTTCCACAGGGGCCATGCTAATCTTCTTTGTAGTCTTCCAACTTTCGTATATGTGCTGCCTCAGTGAGCACAGGAATGCACTCCTTACCTAACTTAGGTAGCTGTAATCCCTCTGTACATCATTTTTATAATGGCAATCTTTTAATAAACATAGTCAATAACAGAGAGTTTGACCTACTCTAGGAATGAGACCCAAGGAGGCCAACCCAGTCTGAAATGACAGCCAGTGAAATCAGGATGAAGAGAGCCTGGAGTGTGAGAAGAGTTCGCTGTGGTTGAGGGTCATGAATGGATGATGACATTTTTCAGGCAACTGTGATGTACTTAGGAAATCTGGAGCAGACCAAGGCCAGCTCAGCCTTGGCAGAGAAGGAAGACATTTACACCACTGCAGCCATGAGCTTGTCCCTGCTGCTCTGAGTGGTGAAATCCATCCAAACTCCCCTTGCTGGAGGGTCTCTATACCTCCCCACACAACTATCCTGCCAAGTGTGACTTACAGAATCAGTCATTAATGGAACTAGGATTTGAACCCAAGATGGATCAAACTCTAGCCAATGATGGCAAAGCTACCTACTTGTGTATCGGATGGATCACCCAGAATAGGAAGCCCAGAGAGGAACCCTAAGGTCTCTAGGACCCCTCAGTTTGTAAGGGAGGGGACTGAGACCCAAAGAAAAGGGACCAGCTTTGGTGAGGCTGTGACCACAACCTGCTGTCCTGTTAGAATCATGCATCCTAGGTCACTGCTGTGTGCCACCTTATCGGTTGGCCGCCTTCTCTGTGGCAGGGGCTATTCCTTTCAGTCCTTACTACTGGAGCTGAGTCTCATCACCAACCAGGTGTACTCCCTTTCTAAGAGTTTCCAGGCTTAGAACATCCTACATCCCAGTGTTCCCAAGGGAAGGGGAGAAGATGGAAGCCATCCCCCTTTCTCGGCCCCACCAGGAAAAGGTTAAGCTGTGCCAGGCCTAAGGTGACATCAAAATTACATGGACAGATAAAAAGGAAATAGAGGGACATGAACCACCTCAAGTCAGCAAAGTGGTTTTACTTCCAGGGGCTTTTAGTTCAACTCCTGCTAAAAATAAAATGAAAGGTTCAGGGGCAAGGCCATAGGCAAGGCTCCATTTATAAAGAGATGTGAGCTCCAGCCTGCATTGTTCAAGCGGGTCCAGTGTAATCATATCGTTCCTTAAAGTGGGAGAACCCTTCTGGGTCAGGGGCAGAAAGAGAGATGTGATTTCATCAGCATAGTCTGAGAAACACAAGATTGATGGACTTGAAGAAAGAGCAAGGGGCTAAGGAAGTGGCAGATCCCAGGTGCTGGCAAAAGAGATGAGGCAGGAGTTGGAGGCATGATTCGGTTGGTAGAGCACTAGTCAGTGAGTGAAAACAGCTACCTTACTCAATAGTCAGTGAGTGAGAACAGCTACAGTACTCAGTAGTGAGTGAGTGAGAACAGCTACAGTACTCAGTAGTGAGTGAGTGAGAACAGCTACAGTACTCACTAGTCAGTGAGTGAGAACAGCTACAGTACTCAGTAGTCAGGGAGTGAGAACAGCTACAGTACTCAGTAGTCAGTGAGTGAGAACAGCTACAGTACTCAGTAGTCAGTGAGTGAGAACAGCTACAGTACTCAGTAGTCAGGGGGTGAGAAAAGCTACAGTACTCACTAGTCAGGGGGTGAGAACAGCTACAGTACTCAGTAGTCAGTGAGTGAGTGAGAACAGCTACAGTACTCAATAGTCAGTGAGTGAGAACAGCCACAGTACTCAGTAGTCAGGGAGTGAGTGAGAACAGCTACAGTACTCAGTAGTCAGTGAGTGAGAACAGCTACAGTACTCAGTAGTCAGGGAGTGAGAACAGCTACAGTACTCAGTAGTCAGTGAGTGAGAACAGCTACAGTACTCAGTAGTCAGGGAGTGAGAACAGCTACAGTACTCAGTAGTCAGGGGGTGAGAACAGCTACAGTACTCAGTAGTCAGTGAGTGAGAACAGCTACAGTACTCAGTAGTCAGGGAGTGAGTGAGAACAGCTACAGTACTCAGTAGTCAGGGAGTGAGAACAGCTACAGTACTCAGTAGTCAGGGAGTGAGAACAGCTACAGTACTCAGTAGTCAGTGAGTGAGAACAGCTACAGTACTCAGTAGTCAGGGGGTGAGAACAGCTACAGTACTCAGTAGTCAGTGAGTGAGAACAGCTACAGTACTCAGTAGTCAGGGAGTGAGAACAGCTACAGTAATCAGTAGTCAGGGAGTGAGAACAACTACAGTACTCAGTAGTCAGGGAGTGAGTGAGAAGAGCTACAGTACTCAGTAGTCAGGGAGTGAGAACAGCTACAGTACTCAGTAGTCAGGGAGTGAGAACAGCTACAGTACTCAGTAGTCAGGGAGTGAGTGAGAACAGCTACAGTACTCAGTAGTCAGGGAGTGAGTGAGAACAGCTACAGTACTCAGTAGCCAGTGAGTGAGAACAGCTACAGTACTCAGTAGTCAGTGAGTGAGAACAGCTACAGTACTCAGTAGTCAGGGAGTGAGAACAGCTACAGTACTCAGTAGTCAGTGAGTGAGAACAGCTACAGTACTCAGTAGTCAGGGGGTGAGAAGAGTTACAGTACTCAGTAGTCAGTGAGTGAGAACAGCTACAGTACTCAGTAGTCAGGGGGTGAGAAAAGCTACAGTACTCACTAGTCAGGGGGTGAGAACAGCTACAGTACTCAGTAGTCAGTGAGTGAGTGAGAACAGCTACAGTACTCAATAGTCAATGAGTGAGAACAGCCACAGTACTCAGTAGTCAGGGAGTGAGTGAGAACAGCTACAGTACTCAGTAGTCAGTGAGTGAGAACAGCTACAGTACTGAGTAGTCAGGGAGTGAGAACAGCTACAGTACTCAGTAGTCAGTGAGTGAGAACAGCTACAGTACTCAGTAGTCAGGGAGTGAGAACAGCTACAGTACTCAGTAGTCAGGGGGTGAGAACAGCTACAGTACTCAGTAGTCAGGGAGTGAGAACAGCTACAGTACTCAGTAGTCAGGGAGTGAGTGAGAACAGCTACAGTACTCAGTAGTCAGGGAGTGAGTGAGAACAGCTACAGTACTCAGTAGTCAGTGAGTGAGAACAGCTACAGTACTCAGTAGTCAGGGAGTGAGAACAGCTACAGTACTCAGTAGTCAGTGAGTGAGAACAGCTACAGTACTCAGTAGTCAGGGGGTGAGAAGAGTTACAGTACTCAGTAGTCAGGGGGTGAGAACAGCTACAGTACTCAGTAGTCAGGGAGTGAGAACAGCTACAGTACTCAGTAGTCAGGGAGTGAGAACAGCTACAGTACTCAGTAGTCAGGGAGTGAGTGAGAAGAGCTACAGTACTCAGTAGTCAGGGAGTGAGAACAGCTACAGTACTCAGTAGTCAGGGAGTGAGAACAGCTACAGTACTCAGTAGTCAGGGAGTGAGAACAGCTACAGTACTCAGTAGTCAGGGAGTGAGAACAGCTACAGTACTCAGTAGTCAGGGAGTGAGAACAGCTACAGTACTCAGTAGTCAGGGAGTGAGAACAGCTACAGTACTCAGTAGTCAGGGAGTGAGTGAGAACAGCTACAGTACTCAGTAGTCAGGGAGTGAGTGAGAACAGCTACAGTACTCAGTAGCCAGTGAGTGAGAACAGCTACAGTACTCAGTAGTCAGTGAATGAGTGAGAACAGCTACAGTACTCACTAGTCAGTGAGTGAGAAGAGCTACAGTACTCAGTAGTCAGTGAGTGAGAACAGCTACAGTACTCAGTAGTCAGGGAGTGAGAACAGCTACAGTACTCAGTAGTCAGTGAGTGAGAACAGCTACAGTACTCAGCAGTCAGGGAGTGAGAACAGCTACAGTACTCAGTAGTCAGTGAGTGAGAACAGCTACAGTACTCAGTAGTCAGGGAGTGAGAACAGCTACAGTACTCAGTAGTCAGTGAGTGAGAACAGCTACAGTACTCAGTAGTCAGTGAGTGAGAACAGCTACAGTACTCAGTAGTCAGGGAGTGAGATTAGCTACAGTACTCAGTAGTCAGTGAGTGAGAACAGCTACAGTACTCAGTAGTCAGGGAGTGAGTGAGAACAGCTACAGTACTCAGTAGTCAGGGAGTGAGAACAGCTACAGTACTCAGTAGTCAGGGAGTGAGAACAGCTACAGTACTCAGTAGTCAGTGAGTGAGAACAGCTACAGTACTCAGTAGCCAGTGAGTGAGAACAGCTACAGTACTCAGTAGTCAGGGAGTGAGAACAGCTACAGTACTCAGTAGTCAGGGAGTGAGAACAGCTACAGTACTCAGCAGTCAGGGAGTGAGAACAGCTACAGTACTCAGTAGTCAGGGAGTGAGTGAAAACAGCTACAGTACTCAGTAGTCAGGGAGTGAGAACAGCTACAGTACTCAGTAGTCAGGGAGTGAGAACAGCTACAGTACTCAGTAGTCAGGGAGTGAGAACCGCTACAGTACTCAGTAGTCAGGGAGTGAGAACAGCTACAGTACTCAGTAGTCAGGGAGTGAGAACAGCTACAGTACTCAGTAGTCAGGGAGTGAGAACAGCTACAGTACTCAGTAGTCAGGGAGTGAGTGAGAACAGCTACAGTACTCAGTAGTCAGGGAGTGAGTGAGAACAGCTACAGTACTCAGTAGCCAGTGAGTGAGAACAGCTACAGTACTCAGTAGTCAGTGAATGAGTGAGAACAGCTACAGTACTCACTAGTCAGTGAGTGAGAACAGCTACAGTACTCAGTAGTCAGTGAGTGAGAACAGCTACAGTACTCAGTAGTCAGGGAGTGAGAACAGCTACAGTACTCAGTAGTCAGTGAGTGAGAACAGCTACAGTACTCAGCAGTCAGGGAGTGAGAACAGCTACAGTACTCAGTAGTCAGTGAGTGAGAACAGCTACAGTACTCAGTAGTCAGGGAGTGAGAACAGCTACAATACTCAGTAGTCAGTGAGTGAGAACAGCTACAGTACTCAGTAGTCAGTGAGTGAGAACAGCTACAGTACTCAGTAGTCAGGGAGTGAGATTAGCTACAGTACTCAGTAGTCAGTGAGTGAGAACA